ACTGTGTCATGGCCAAGAAGCAATATCAACGTGACACTGCTGAGAAAATCTTCGAAATCTTGTTAAACCGTTTCGGATCAGGCGTGCAGGGGCACCAGGCGATGATGCGCTTCGAGAAACGGAGGCAACGAGAAGATGAAACGATAGATAAGTTTCACGATGATTTGGAGATGCTGAGAAGACGCAGCCAACCGGATGAGTCAAACCGAAGGATGAACCTGGCCGTAGCCTCAAAATTCATCGATGGTGTGAAGAATGATGAACTTCGTACGATGCTAGCAACGCATTACACACCACTATCAACCAATGCGCCAACACCGGAGGAGTTGAGGCTCAAGTCGAAAGAGTATCTTTTGTTGAAACCTCTTTCGAGATCTGGATACTACAAGAACAATTATGGCAATTTTAACAACGGACCAGCAAACCAAGGGAACAATTGGTACAAACCGAGGGATGATATGGACAAGAGACGCTCTTGTGCCAATTGCAGTTCAACGGACCATCATGTGTCAGCATGCCCAGCTTACAAACAAGACATGAAAGCAATAGGCTTTGGCCTCGAGGACGAAGATGCGTCAGAATTGGACCATGAGGATTTCATGAGAGGAGTAATTGCAAAATTCGGACCGAGGTGTTTCTTTTGCAACTTGGAAGGTCATTTTAAATCAGATTGTCCGCAATTCTGGGATGCAGTGGCAGACATAAAGCATACAAGACATGAAGAAGCTTTGTCAGGCGTGAAAGCAGGCAAGGCTCGACTTTTGAGTGAAGCGGAGGCACGCAGAAAGGATAAACCTCAAGAGCTGGCGGCAAAGAAAATGCAAGCGGTAACAGAGGAGACACGTGAACCGGAACCAGCTGTTGTGCAGCAAAAGTTGGGAAATGAAAAATCACCAATCCGACTGAATAAAACTAGTGATTTGCAAAGAGTGTAAATTATTTCACGAGTTATAGATAGAAGTCAATTGATTTTTGTAAAAATGCGGTTTTAAATAAGTAAATCAGTTCAATCGTAGATTTAGTTCAAGTAGAAAGCTGAAATGTCTTTTTTAGACTTCAACATTCCGCCTCCCTTGAAGTATCTTCAATTTTCAGATCGTTGTTATGTCTGGGTACGACTATCCATTCACAGTGCACGAGACAAAGGAGAGAAAGAACAGGGCGGAGTCGGGCAGAGCACCACGTCTGCCTCCACATGGCGAGGTGCGAAGGTCCAGTAGGCGGGGCGCTGTCGACAGGGAGGACCTGCAGGGTTTCTTCGATTCAGTGACCAGAGGAGATCTGGGTTTCACTCCGATTCCTGTAAAGTCGTTGGATGAGATCCAGTCTTCAAGGAAGGAAGCTGCAATCGTGGATAGGGCAGTTCTGCGGTTTCCGAAAGCTGAGACTGTGAGTAGCATTTATTCCATTGTATCATAGTAGTAGAGTATAGCGGGTGTGCATCAATTGTTTGTTTTGTTTTAGAAGCAACTTAGTGGTCTTAAACGTATCAGTGACCTCAACGTAGAAGGGTCATTGTTCACTGGCTGGGAGGTTGGAGTTAACTGTCGAGAGACTCCTAGTGTGACAGCTAAGGGTGTTATTGGCGTCATGTCTGGAGGTCAGACCAGATGGCCAAAGCAGGTCTTTTCTTCTCTTCTCCAAGGTATTTTTGTAGAGTCCTCGTCCTTCCGGACTTTCCATCAAGACTTGGAGGATGAAGATGATGCTGTTTTGTGTCTTCTGGGGGGCCGAAAGTTGTGGCTGATGACATCTGAAGTTAATCTCTCTGGTGAACTTGAGCGCCTGGCCGGTAGCAATGATTCGGAGATGATGTTCACTGATGCTGCTAAGTATCTGAGGAACCTTGGTCCTCGGCAGAAGAAACTGATCCACTATGGTGTTCTTGAGGAGGGGAAAAGTTTGTATCTTCCATATGCGTGGTGCCATGCAGTTCTGACTCTCTGCGACGAAGAGAGGGTCTGCTGTATGTACTATGCGGAGATGCAAACTAGACTTTCCTTGGTAGCATCTGCGTGGAAGCGCTGCCAGCAACACTGCAGGGTCAACAAGCGAAGAGGACCAGATAACAGCAAATGACTGTTCAACGGTAAATATGTTAACTGTTATTCAATAAATGAACTAAATCTGACTGCACCATAAGTAAGGCGTATACAAGTGAAGTATTAACGGTATGAGTCATGAGCGAAAGTTTGTATACTTAGAAAAACATTTTATGCGAATTAATGGTTGTAAATCATTACAATACGACATCTTTGAATATAATTTAAAGGCAAATATAACATTCTAACAGTTTGACGTGATCAGAGAGCCTATTGTTAAATTCAAGACAGTAGCGTAGGCGTATCCTAGCTGTTTTCAGACAATAATTTTATTTTGGGTCATGAGGGTACAACCTCATACGAATTTTAATGCACGATTTAGCACAAAAATTGATGAAAATTTACATCATTTTCGACTTTTATGAACATACAACATTGGGAATTTACATGAAAGTGGTCAATATGAACGATTCAGACCATAATGCATTGCATAGGGGGTAATTTAGGTTCCTACTCTCAAAAGGGTCATGGGGGTACTACTTCTTAAAATTTGAAAACTGCACATTTTTGATATTTTTCGATTTTTTTTTAGCAATATAAAGTTCTTGTTTTAAATGAACTGCACATTGGATATGACTTGGTTGCTATACTGGTAGCTTCCGAAGCTTCGCGACTGGGCGTACGTATTCACCAGTTGTGGTCTTCACTTTTACCACTCGAACAATTGAGTCATTTCCAGGATAAACTTCTATGATTCGTCCAGTTTTCCATTCTAGCGGTCGTTCATTGTCTTCGGCAAGTAGGACTAGGTTGCCAACTTTAAATTCTGGGCCATCCGTGAACCATTTTTTCCGTATTTGTAGCGTTATGAGATAATCCTTTTTCCAAACTTTCCAGAAATCCTTGATCATATTCTGTAATAGTCGATATCGTACATTGGTTGAAACTTGGATGTCCGCAGAGGGAAGAGTTAGCAATGATTCCCCTATCAGAGAATGAGCGGGTGTCAGCGGAGTTGGGTCGTTAGGATCACTTGACATTGGATACAATGGTCGTGAATTTAAGACAGCTTCAATTTGATTGAGAATTGTAATAAATTCTTCAAAACTGAGACGTTGCAGTCCTATAACTTTTCGCATATGTCTCTTCATACTTTTTACAGCTGCTTCCCAGAATCCTCCGAAGTGAGGAGCACGAGGAGGGATGGTGACCCATTCAGTTCCTTGGCTATTGACGAAACTAACAACTGATTTGTCCGTTCCATTTTTGTCGAGCAGTTCCTTGATTTTGATCAGATCATTTCGAGCCCCGATAAAATTGCTTCCATTGTCACTTAAGATCTTCTCAGGTTTGCCACGGCGTGCAGTAAATCGTTTCAATGAAAGGATGCATGCTTCTTTGGTTAGACGAGTAACCATTTCCAAATGAATAGCTTTTGTCGCGAGACAAACAAAGACGGCAACATAAATTTTTGAGACCTCTGCTTCCTTAATTTCAAAGGGACCAGCAAAGTCTATTCCACATTGAGCAAATGGTTTTGCGGGTGTTATTCTTTCTGTAGGAAGATCAGCCATGAATTGAGAAGTAGGTTGCTGACTAAATCGGACACATCTCATGCATCTTTTAATGAACTGTCGAACTAGATCACGGCCTCCGATTATCCAAATTTCCTCTCTCATTGTGTTCAGTACTAATTGCCCCCCGCCATGAAGAGTATCTTCATGATATTTGCGTATAAGTAGGGATACTAAATCAGATTTTTTTGAAACGAGTATTGGAAACTTCTTGTCTGTTGGGTAGTTCGATTGTGAAAGTCTGCCTCCAACTCTTAGTAGATCGTAATCCTTGTCGAAAAACGGACTAAGATTGAGTAGTTTCGATGTTTTACTCAGCTCCCCTTTCACCTTTAGACAATTTAGCTCTGATTTGAAGTGTATGTCTTGGTCTAAACGAAGAATTAGCATTTTTGCCATAATTCTATTTTTAGGACTAAGACAATCTTCTTCAAGTTGTACATCAGATGTCCGCTTAGATCTGAGCCGCTTCCGATAGTTTGTCGATACTCTATGCTTAAGATGTTCAACAAATGATAGTACATAGCATGCGATGCGTACTGTCTTGTTCCAAGTGCTGTAGTTCTTTAAACGAAAAATTCCATCCGTCATTTCTTCGTTTTGAGCATGATTTGCGAGAACAGTTCGAATTTGTTCACTTTCTGCATTAGTCTTGGCTTTGACGGTTCGTTTTTCAGGTGCTTCAACTAGAGATGGTTTTAGGTTGGGCCAGTGCCTTTCATCTTTGGTCAGCCAATCTGGTCCATTCCACCAGAGTGAGGAACATATTAATGTGTCAGCTAATACACCACGAGAGGCTAAATCAGCTGGATTTACTGCTGTTGGCACGTGTTTCCAATCACTTCTGGGTAGGGTCTCTTGTATTTGTGAAACTCTGTTTGCAACAAAAGTGTTCCACGTTCTTGGAAGTTGAGCAAGCCATTGCAAGACAATTGTTGAATCAGTCCAGGCGTGTGAAGTTATCTTGAGATTTGTTTTCCTCAAAATTGAATGAACTGATTTAAGAAGTTTGGTAGCTAAACTTGCACCGCAGAGCTCTAATTTGGGAACAGAGATTGCTTTGACCGGAGCAACCTTTGTTTTGGAGGTTAGTAGATATGCAAAAGTTTTGCCATCATCATTGGTAATTCTTGCATAGATTGCGGCTGCATATGCTTTTTCGGAAGCATCACAGAATACGTGAAGTTGAACCTCCTTTATTGGATGTGAGCTCATAGATCTTGGTATTCGTAGTTTCAGTAGTTGAGGCAATGTTCCGGTGAGCTCATACCATTTTTCCTTGGTTTTCTGATCGACTTCAGAATCCCAATCAAAACCTTGGACCCATAGTTGTTGCATGAGACATTTGAAATTGATGATGAATGGAGCTAGCCATCCCATCGGATCAAACAATTTTGAGATTGTGGACAGAATAGTCCTCTTTGTAAGCAGTTTCAGCTCTGGTAAGGCAGTTGAAAAACAAAAAAATGTCCTTATTGGGCTTCCAACTGACTCCTAGCGCCTTGATTTTGTATTCGTCAGAGAAAAGTTCCAGCACATCCGATTTTTCGCGGAGATGTTCTGGCAATCCTTCAATTATTTTAGCATTGCTTAAAGTCCATTTTCGAAGAGGGAATTCATAAGAGTTCAGCTCTTCGCACAAATCAGAGATGAGTTTTTTTGCTTCATGCTTATCATTAGCGCCACCAAGAAAGTCGTCTACATAGAAACAATTTTTGAGACTTTCTTTGATCATTGGGTTCTTAGATTGATTTGCTACTTCATTGAGGCATCTTGTTGAGTGAAACGCTGACGAAGCTATTCCATATGTAACACGTGTCATCCTGAGATGCTTGATTTCATCCGATTTATTTGATCTCCAAAGTATGCGATGGAAATCCTTCGATTTGTCCTCTAGAGCAACTTGTCGGTACATTTTTGCGATATCTGCTGACAAAGCAATTGGGTAGAACCTGAAGCGCATGATTATCGAGTAGAGGTCGTCTTGTACTGTGGGACCAACCATCAAAGTGTCGTTGAGTGATTGTCCGGTTGATGTTGTTGCAGATCCGTCGAAAACTACACGTAGCTTTGTGGTAGTAGAATCTTCCTTGAAAACGCAGTGATGTGGCAGATAATATACGCTATCAACTGGCTTTTCGATTTCTCCAGGCGGTATGTACTCCATATGCCCCATATCGAGAAATTCGTCTATGAATGCGGTATAGCGATCTTTAAGTTCTGGATTCTGTTCCAGTCGTCGCTCGAGATAATTGAATCTGCGTTTTGCTTGTGCTAAACTGTCGCCAAGTTGACTATTGGGCTTGAAAGGCAGCTGCACAGTGAATCGTCCATTTTGTAGTATGGTTGTTTCCTTAAAGTGAGATTCACATCGATCTTCTTCTGTTGTTGTCTTTTTGAAATCAGGAATTTCTTCTAATTCCCAAAATTTCCTTAGACTATCGTCAATAGACACATGAAATGACTTGAAAAAGGTTGTTGGAGGACCGGGTGTTCTGCCGCTAATCATCCAACCAAATAGAGTGTCACGTGCATAAAGCTTGTCTGTAAGCTTAATCTTTTCGCAGCCAACAATGTCGTTGTAGACATCACAGCCTAGGATTATATCGATTTCCTTTGGTTTGTCAAAGTCTGGGTCCGAGAGCTTAAGACGTGTGATATCCAAACTGTTCGGTATATTCACCCGTTCTCTGGGCAGGTAGCCAGAAAGTTTTTGAAGAGTGAAGGGTTTCAATATGTAGAGATTGATTCTGAGAATCCTTTGCTTCCAGATTGACAGAACCAGATTTCACAGTTTTTGCTCCTCCGCCAACTCGAGTTAGTTGAAGAGTCAATTTCTTGATTGGTAGCTTGAGTCGGTTAGCACAGCTGGTTGTAACGAAACAGCATTCAGATCCGCTGTCCAGTAAGGCTCGACAATTGTGATAACCGCCATTTGCAGTTTTCACCTCAATTAGTACAGTTCCCAGTATGGTAGTGGCACATGTACTAGTACCCCCATGACCCGTAAACTTATTTTCAGGTCCGGGTTGCTTGTTTGGGTCTGTATGGATGTGAAGTAACGTGTGATGACCCTTTTGACAGGTTTGGCACGTTGACTTCGACTTGCACTCATGATTTTGGTGTCCAAGGGACAGGCAATTGAAGCATAATCGCTTTGATTTGGCTTCTTGTCTTCTATTGGAAATTGACATTTCCTGAAATTTTGTGCATTGATACACGCGGTGATCACCACTGCAGCATGGGCAGCTGATCGTCTTAGCAGAGTTCGTGTGGTATGTCTGTACCTTGTCATCTTTCTTAGAATTTCCAGATTGGTCTGAACTTCCTTGATGATTTTTTCTATGAATTGAAGGTAACTGGAGGTCCTTCGTAGCTTCTAGGGCGCGAGATCGTTCCTCCAAGAACTTCTTCATCTGCTTGATTTTTGGCATGTCACTTCCCGCGCAGGAAAGTTCCCATTGTCTTCTAGTTTCAGAATCTAATTTCTTGGCCAAAACGTGAACCCAGATCAAATCGCATTGATCAATTTTTAGTCCAAGCCCTGTCAGTGCCATCGTGTTTTCCGTGTAGGTGTTAATCAAGCGACGTATTGAAGCGGATGACTCATGCTTCATTGGGGTGAATTCAAACTTGATTCCAAGTGAGCGTGTGAGATCATCTTGACATCAGCATATCGATCCTTTAGAAGTTCCCTTGCGACTGAGTAGTTCGCGTTTGTAGTAGGCAAGTGGGATAGCAAACGAAACGGTTCATCCTTGAGGGCACCCTTTAGGTATTGCAGTTTCTGAACATCAGACAGCGATGCATTTGAGTGAACTGCTCCATCAAAGGAATCTAAGAAAGGTAGCCATTGGTCATACCTTCCGCTAAATGTTGGCGAATTCAGTTTCGGCAACTTCAGGCAAGTATCTTGTTTTCGACCAGCACCACGTTGGGAAGTGGATTTGTAGGATCCGGTTCCGCTTGCGCTGTCGTCATCTTTGACCGATTCAGTTGAACATTTTCCTCGGTCATCTAACATAGTTGTGATCATTTCCATCAAACAATCTACTTGAAGGTAGATTTTCTCAGCTTCCTCCAACTCAACTTCAAGTGCATCTTCATCATCGTTTAGAAAACTTGAAATTCGCTGATTAAGCTCTTCCAGTTCCTTTTTCTTTCGTTCGCACATCGTGAGATTGGCCTTGAGAGTTCCAATTTCCTTGTAACTTAGAGCAGATGCCTCTTTGTCGAAGATTGCTGAGACGGCATTTTCCGATCGGGTAATGACACCGATGTTAGCACTTCTTGATCGCTTCAAAGCAGGAAGAGTGAGCGTCACGTTGCTCATGTCACTAGCAGGTGATGACATTTTTAACTTTCCTCTTTGTTTCTAATCTTTGGTTCGTTCGTGAGTCGCGTTGCACCAAAAATGTTGTGCAGCAAAAGTTGGGAAATGAAAAATCACCAATCCGACTGAATAAAACTAGTGATTTGCAAAGAGTGTAAATTATTTCACGAGTTATAGATAGAAGTCAATTGATTTTTGTAAAAATGCGGTTTTAAATAAGTAAATCAGTTCAATCGTAGATTTAGTTCAAGTAGAAAGCTGAAATGTCTTTTTTAGGCTTCAACACCAGCAACTGCGGCTGATGACTTCAAGATCGATTATAAGGCAGCCGCGAGGGATGCTCTAAATAGAGTGCAGCAGGAACTGGTGACGAAAGAGATCGAACAAAAAGTGAAACTTGAACTGGAAAATGAGAAACTTCAGGAGCAACTGAATACCTTCGAAGCAATGGAGTTCGAAGAAACGAAAGCACCTAGCAGTTTGAGCATGAAACTTAATGTGATCTCCGGCCAGAGGTTCGGCATGGTGCCGCAAGGAAGCAAGATACAGTCGATAATCTCAGTGGCTGGACACCAGGTAATAAGAAATCTGTGTGAACCATCCGAGTTCACTTTGATGCATTTGGACACATATGCAGATTATCTGAGGCAGGTGGAACCACGCACCGAGTCGAGAGCCGTGCGAGCACTACTAACGACGGGTGGCCCTCGCATGAAGAAACTTCATGGACGCTACGTAGAGGTCTATGGGCCGTATCAAGTAAGGCTGAACGTGGATGGAATCAGTATCTACACCAGGACTTATGTAACAACAGATGATGACCAAATGGGGCAGATCTATTTGGGAGAAGAGGAACTCAAGGTCCGCAGGATAGGCCATGACGCCATGATGGAACAAGACGCAGTACACATTGGGTATGAAGCAGATGTGACTGCACATCTGCTCGACACCAACGGAACAAAACTCGGAGTCACAGGGCTTCTGGACACAGGAGCGGTAGTGAGTGTGATGCCGATAAAAACTTGGGAAAGAATGGGCTTCACGCGGGAAGATCTAATTCCAACGAATCTCCGACTGGCCGCCGCCAATCGAGGAGCTATTTACGTAGCCGGAAGAACACCAATAACGGTCCTCCACATGGGAGGACGGGATCTTTGGATGAGCTTCCTGGTGGTAGAGAATTTGGACGACGCCGACCAATTCATCTTGGGCAGAGATTTTGTCAGGAATTTTGACGTGATGATTGACTTGAACAACGGTCTGATACGGATTAGAAACCCGGACCGAAAGTATGTTAAGAGACCAATTAATAGGATAATAACAGACAAAAACAAGGTACCCATTTTTTTGGATAGAAAAGTAAAACTACAACCAGGACAAGCTGCTGTAGCAATTTTTAGAATGAGAAATTTGAATTCGTTAAGTGATAGTAAACAGGTTTGCTTAGTACCGAGTCCAAATAGTCAGAGTTCGGTGATTTTAGGCCGGAGCTTCTCGGTAACGCGAAACGGACTGTGTGTCAGTGTGTTGTTGAACACACTGGACACCACGGTTTCAATCCAGCGTGGAAAGAAGCTTGGCTACGCTTTGCCGATGAGGACCGACTATGAGGAGACACAAAAATCGAAGAAATATAGTGTGAAAGACTGTCCTTATCATGCCAATAAAGATAAAATTTTAAAGAGGATTAATGAATTAAAATCTATTCATAAATTGTTTTCAATGAAATCCGAAACGGACGACGGCTTATCAAGCTGCTCGAATTTTCCGGAACGCCCCTCGTCATATGAAATAGAATCTGACAAACCGGTTTTACCAGAGATAGAACATTTAAAAGGGAAAATAGGTGAGGGAGATTTCGAAAAATTGCGGGACCTCCTAAATCGGAACGCAGATGTATTTTCAAAACATAAGGCGGATATCGGTTGCTGTAATTTCGTCGAACACGAAATCGAATTAGAAGAAGGCGCCGTTCCCCATAGGGAAGGCGCAAGACGAATGACGCCACACAAATGGGAAGCGTGCCGAGCGGAAATAGAAATGTTGCTTGAATACGACAAGATAGAACCCTCGAAATCGCCATGGGCTTGCGGGGTAGTAATGGCGAAAAAGAAAGGGGGGCAGCTTAGATTTTGTTGCGACTTTCGTTACTTGAACGCGATAACGATAAAAGATGCGTACCCGATACCGCCAATAGACGAGAGCCTATCTAAGCTTGGTGATGCCAAGTTCTTCACCACATAGGACTTAGGTTCTGCCTTCTGGCAGGCACCTCTGCGGATAAAGGACAGAGAGAAAACCGGATTCGCGTGCGAATTGGGATTGTACCAGTGGAAGAGGATGCCCTTCGGCTTGTGCAATGCAACGGCCACTTTTCAAAGACTGATGGCTCAGGCGTTGACGAGAGTGACCAAGAAGTACGGGAATCTCGTGATGTGTTACGTGGATGACGTAGTCATAGCGACACCGACCCTGGAAGACCACATTGATAGGCTCGATGAGGTCTTTGGATGAGGTCAAAAGAGCTGGATTGAAGTGCAAACCATCGAAATGTGAACTCTTTAGGGATTCGATTAAGTACCTAGGAAGAATGGTGGATAGGCATGGTGTGAGGCCGGACCCGGAAACAGTGGAAGCAGTGTTGACATGGAAGGCCCCCAGAACGGACACACAGCTGCTGAGCTTCCTAGGGTTTGCCAATTACTACCGAGAATTCATAAAAGGATACGCGGACAAGGTGTATCCGATGCAGAAGCTGATGCGCAACAAGGGGAAAAAGTTCGAATGGAACGATGAGGCACAGGTTGCTTTCGAGAACATAAGGCGGGAACTGTGCGAAGCGCCAGTGCTGGGCATGCCTACAGAAAAGGGCATGTATGTTCTCGACACAGACGCATCGGTGGTAGCCATCTCAGGAATCTTGCATCAAGAGCAAGAATGGAACGGAAGAACAGTTCTCCGTCACATTGCATACGGCAGCAAGGTCTTGAGTGACACAGAGATGAAATATGGCGCACCAAAAGCAGAAATGTTTGCAGTAGTCACCTTCGTGGAAAAGTACCGTGCATACTTGGGGAGCGCTCCCTTCAAGTTACGCGTGGACAACAGAGCGTTATCCTGGTTGAAAACCTACTCGATGGATCAGAGTTATTTTGGTAGATGGATAGTCAGATTGGATGGCTACCATATGATAATCGAACATAGGATGCGTGATAAACACCAGAATGCTGACAGCCTCAGCAAGAAAACTGAGTTTTATGAAAGATTGGAACAGAAGCAGGCCAATCAGGCGGAGATAAAGGAGGGATTCTCGTTTCTGGACAAAGAAACTTATGAAGCGCTTCCCTTAACGAGATGGTTGGATAAGTCTGGACATCCAATTCCAGGGCACCCTGAGTTACCTGTAGAGAAAGCAGCCGAGATAAAGATCCTATCCAAGGAGGACCCAGTCCCCTTGGATCTGTTGCTGCGCTCGAACCTGGTCCAGCAAGAACTCTCTCGCATGAACATAAACAGTCTCTCATTATTGGATAAAACGGTGCAAGTCACACCGCAAGTGATGCGGATGCTGGGTGGATTGTTAGAAAGAGAAGTGACCAGAGATGACCCCGAGTGGACAGCAGCAGTGGCATCGCTAACAGTTAGTGAGAAGGTGAAGATCATGCCGTCCAGACGACAGCACGAAGAGAACGAGAGGGATTGTAGGACAATAGTTCAGCAACTAGTATCCTGAATACCCCAAGAGATTTTAACTAGTACTTCCTACGGACAGAGAGAACAGGTGAGCAGCAAGCGAAAGAAAACCGTCACCTTTGTGGACCAGGATAAAGAAGGTAAAAAGGTAGAACAAAATCTGCTGCAAGACTATTTGTCCGGGGAGACGAATGATGAAAAGAACCAGCGATCACAAGATCAACACCCGGGACAAGAAAAACTCAGGAATTGACACCTACTCAGACAGGAACTCATGCTCGGGATCGGAACTGTTAGAACTAGCGATCCACACGCTACTAGTGGAAACTCGGGCAAGGGACCTGGACAGAGAAGTGTACCAGGATCCTGACAGTGATCGCTACCTAATACCAAGCGAAAGAGTCTTTGACAACGCAGCGGATGACTTGGAGACGATAGCGGTATCGAAACGTTCGATAAGCCTGTTGCCGCAGAAAGAGGTAGTCAGGACTGATCTTCAGCCGTTTAAACAAGAAACACAGCCGTTGGCGA